GTGCACTCAATTGAATTAAACCAATTCCCTAGCAGGTGAATGTTCCATTCCTATCTTTCATCCAAAGAAGCTAAGAAGCTAAGAAAGTTGAGCTGCTCAACTATCTGGACTTGGACTAATAGCGAATTTCCATCATATTTGCAATTTCCATCATAGCTCGTTAGATGCTGATTGATTGGTTATATTTCACTTACACACCGATTCTTCAATTGTGGAAATTCTATAAACCGCTAAATCATCCGAGCTCGATATCAATGCTAAATGTTTACGAAGTCATGATAAGTACATTTTCATTCCGCATGCTACTGCGCGCATTACGCGACAATCTTCAGCGAAATTGGACAACCTTTGAACTTCATGTGACACATCTTCCAAACATCTTACTGTTAGTTTCTCAGCCACGTGACCTAATATTCTGCAAGTTGTCCAGTTTCACTGAAGCCCACCATGTGATGCGCGCGGTTGCGTGCGGAGCTAAACTGGTATTTTTTGCATTGCCCGATATGATTCGACGTCAAACACCCCCGCTATGTCAATTCCAGACCTAGAGATAATGTATAAATATGAGTAGAAGTATGTGGTCGCATCATTCAGCAGTTCTCCAATTTGAAGTATACTTGTTTTGTTTTCAAACTCTACATTCCAGGATGAGGATTATTATACTCACTCTACTTGTGGCCGCATGCGTGAGCGCTGACTTGTTCGACCTCAAAAAATCGCTTGTGGTTGGCAGTCTCAAAGGGCTCATCAAGCACGAAGTGAACAAAAAAATAAAAAAGACTATAAGTCGCATCAAGGAGGTAGAATAAATCTAAGTATTCGTTTCATAATCCGTAGAAGTTGCAACTATTTAAAGCCTGTTATCTTTACAGGTCATCGATAGCAAAATGAATGATTTCCGCAAAAAATTGAGCGGATACAGAGAAAAGATACTGCAGTCGCTTCACCTGTCGAAGGAGCAAAGAAATGAGCTTGTAGAAAGACTGAAGGTTGGCAGCTCACAGAAATTCATGTATTCATAACTGATTTTTTGAACTGTTTCAGATGTTGAAAAGAAAAACTATTGACAAAGTTCTACCGACAGGAGACACAATTGAGGAGATCAACGAAATGAGCAATATTTCAGACTCACTATTCCAGGGAGATATGGTCCTTACGGAGTCCGTTTGCATGATTTCCTCATATGAGCAGTGGAAAATTTGTGTCATGTTAAGGAAGCAACAAAAACAAGTTCTCGCGGCCATTCTCGGCAACCGTTCTAAGCGGCAAGCTACGTATGAAAGCGAATATCCTGGTGCGAGGTGGTCCGAAGGGAGTCAACTACTTCTTCGACGCTAGCGCGAGTCAGTGGCTGAACTCACGTTTTCCTGTTCATGTATATCACGAAGAACTAGGGACTGTTCGCTGATTCTTCTAAACACCTCATTTACTTGGCTACGTTCAGGTGCGCAAGGTTCAAAGTGTGTTCAAGAAAGCTGCACACCAATGGATGTCTGATACATGTATAAACTTCATACCTACCAAATTCGGTAATGCTATGATATTGGAAGCAGTAGCAGCACTCCGCTGTACGTCCGAGTTTCAGCAGAAGACAGTATCCGAGTGTTTGCGGACATGGATGTTGGTCCTACGTTGGTAGACTTGGTGGTGCGCAAGACCTCTCCCTGGGTGAAGGCTGTGAAAAGGTACGGTTTCAATGGAGATCCCCCGTGAAACATGTATTTTCAGTAATGTGTTACATAAAAAACGATCTATCTAGTTGATGTCTTGTTGTACAGGTTGGAACTGCTGCTCACGAGATTGGCCACGCCCTGGGATTCTTCCACACGCACGAAAGATACGATCGTGACCAATTTATTACAGTTGACGAACAAAATATAAAGGTAAGATGCGCAAATGGTACATAGCTTTGATGACAACATTGCTGGAAATTTAGCCTGAACATCTCGACCAATTCACACGGCAAACAATCTCGACCAATAACAATTATGGTTTAACATATGACTACGGTAGCGTGATGCACTACGGAGCCACAAGGTCGAATTCTCATGAAGCGACAACTGTGAGGTATAGGAGATGAATTCAAATTTTCAGCGCTACTGTAAACAAAAAACCTACCATGGTGCCGAAGGATGTGATGTACACGGAGACTCTAGGATCCCCATTCATATCTTACTACGACCTGCTTATGATTAACACGCACTACAATTGCACAGGTAAGTAGAATCCTCGAATAAATTTTTGCTGCCTCACGCTTACGTGCTAAATGTTATACTGCTCCAGACGCATGCAAAGGTAAGAACACACCATGCCAAAATATGGATTCGCTCATCCTCGTGATTGCTCCAAATGCATTTGCCCTAGTGGATACGGTGGACAGTTCTGTGAGAAAAGGGTAACTGCCCTTCTTACTGGTCGAAATTACAAAATTTCCCGAAGATTTTTTCTAGCCACCCGGTTGCGGTGCAGAACTAGAAGCGACGAGGGATTGGAAACCGTTTGTGGACGTTCTAGGAGACAAGGAGTCTGGCGTCACACCGCGAGAAGATTTTATGAAATGCAACTACTGGATTAAGGTTTGCAGGTGTCAAAAAAACTCACAAGTTATCACTCTCACAATCAAAAATCAAGGCGCCGGCCGGCAAAAAGATAGAAGTGAAATTCGTGGACTTCTCTGATGGAATTGCTATTGATGGGTGCACATATGCAGGTGTGGAAATTAAAACCCATCCAGACAAACGTCGAACCGGTTACAGGTATGCACACCCGATCAAGAAATCAGAATTTGTATTTATCTGAACTAAACTAATTACTAGAACAAAACCTAATTTAATGGTTCGTTTAGGTACTGCTCAAAAGAGGACGTT